CTTAATAACCGGCGACTACTGTAGTAGGTTTCTTGGTGTCCTTTCCGCAACCTTGCAAGTACATTTTTAGCTCAGTAAAGTGAGCACAAGCGGCTTGAATTTCTTTCTTATCGCGCAGTTATCACGAATTAATCGCGCATTAAGCCCTTAGCCACGAATCCCGTAAAACAGTGAGGCTCGGAGACTTTTGCTATTGGGTGGCCCCACAATAAATCCCTACCTTCGGAATAAAGCCTTTTAGGCTTCGCTTTATGCTCAGCATTTAAATATGCTAACACCTTGAGGCAGAATATACAGTAAAGAAGATATCGAAGATTAATGCTTTCAGATTACATAGAATGGCATTAGAATGAAGATATTCCTGTTGAGAGAGTCGGCAAGTAACGCAACTTTTACGGTATTTTAATGCAGGAAACATGAGATCGAGACCTACGAAGTCTACAGTTGGCCGAAATAATGATCTGCAAGACGGAGGGAATAGGCATGAACGGCCCTCCCCGAATGACTCCGCCATGTCAGACAACGTTGATGTTAACGCCAAGTTCCTGGAACTTTTCAAGCACCGCCACGCAGAGTCAAAGGGATGTGAGTTCAATCACATTATGACTTCGATGGGAGACCGGAACGACCTCTCCTTCACTGCTATTCAGGTAAGCAAATATGCTTATGTAAATATACTAATATAATACATTTCCACCTAAAATAATTTGCAACTATCATATAATGTGCTTTATTTTGTTGTAGAACGCCTATCGCCAATTTGCCAAGAACGCGTCAGAACGCAGAGTTCTAGGTAATAAATCGCCGGACACTCGATCGATGGAGGAGAGACTCATGTGCGGCATGGGGGGATTCCAAAAGTCACCGAAGGATATGGTTAGTACAGGTCGGGAAGGGGACAGCGACTGCACCAAATCTCCCACAAATCTTCACCTTCACAAACAGATGGAAAACACATCAGCCACATGCACTGAGCCCAGTTCTGACCCCACGGAAACCACTGGATTGCCCCGTCTAGAGACCGACAAATTGGACTGCAACAGAGACGCCGATACCAGTTACAGTGTTCGACGGAACCCTCAAGATTCACCTTTAGCGACCATGCAGCTGTCACCAGAAATCCGCATAAGCACCCAGTCTGGTAAGTTTCTGAGACAGTTGAAGACCATATGTATAACAAGCGCCAGCTCAGTCCTGTTTGCTTAAACCTTTTGACCGATCTCTGCGACTACTGGGTTGAAATTACTGGGCCGACCGAGTCGCTGACTGATTCCATGACGAAAATATTCTTCCATGGACATCAGAGTTTTAAACCGGAATCTTTAAAGAGCGCAAGGTACAAATGCTCATGAAAGTCATACGGCCATCAACCCCCAGGAGTCTGCTCGAAATTAAAGATATGATATTTCGCTTGGAAAAAAACAAAGACCAGCGTGTGGAGGAGGGAATGCGATGCGTTAAGACAGCAGACTCAAGCAC